TTAGGGTGCACTTTGATATTCTTGAAAGGCGATAAAAACATCACCGTTGGGATATAAGGCAAAACAGACGCAGGCTAATTCAAATTAACGTAGTTCTTCAGTTCAGAATTTCTACTCAATAATCTTAGAAAACAATTAATATCATATATCGTAATGCAGTGTGCAGTCGAGCAGTGAATTCACAATACCGCTTATAACTTCTGCAAAAAAAAAGTGATTTCACATAAAAATCACCGCAACGGAATAATCCGTCGCAAAAGGTCGCATCGTCATAACTTCTTTCAAAACAGATTTTTTTCAAACGGAAAAGCGGCGTTCAGCTCGTTAAATCTTCCGGATTTCTCACTGCAGTAACATTCAGGGGTAGGTAGTAGGAAGTCAACATCGTGAATCTGTCTAAAACTTTGCCTAGGAGGGTTATCTGGTGCGCTGATCATGTAAAAACCACCCATTTCTTACGGTAACGACTCACTGCAAAGATACGGTGGCCGTACATCAAGAGGTCACCGTCGCTACTCCGTCTGTTTCTTTTTTCGCCTAGAGTGATTATTTCAAACGCTGAAATAGCTATCCATTTATCACAATCACGCTTTATTAAAGACACTGTAGCTATACGATGGGAGATCACTACCGCGAATTTGTCCAAACCTCTGCCTACCTGGGTTATTAGGTACGCTGATTATGAAGAATATTGTTTATCGATGGTGCTTAATGCAGAGATACTTGTACAGCCACCATCTCACAATGCAAATTCTTCATAAGCTAGCTTAAAACCTTTTACCCTTTCGCTCGCACAGGACGACCTTTTCCTTAGCGGTCAAAGGCACTTTTTCGTGGGTTTTTAGCTAAATTACATGGCAGCGTTCCATGAAAGTTCTTCTAGAAAGGTTTGAGACTTTAAAGTTGCTGGTACAAATTTTCAATTAATTAGCGTATTAACTTCTTTTATAGGCGCATCTATACGAACTCATGACTTTATACCGTATCTGTTCCTCACAATAAGGCGCTGCCGTGCAGACAGATACGCCAATTGTATTCAGCACATCAAATAACCATAGTAGACCAATTTCCAGGCAAAGTATGATTTTGACGATCCACCAACCTTACAGTAAAGCCCTACCGAGTGAAACTTATAGAATTTTCGTGATCAGCATGGTAAGTAAACCCAATAGGCGAAGTTTCAATGAGATCTGAAGTTTTGACACTTTGGCAAGAATTAGCGTATATGCTGCCTTAAGCATAGCTGTGTGACGTCATCGACCGATACAACTCGAGAATTTTACCGCTAAGATTCGGAAGTCTCGGATTTCGCCAAAACTTTGCCAAGTTGATTTATTTGAAGTGCTGATCACGCGGACATTATTCGGTTTGCATGGTAGAGGCCCATTGTAGGGTTACGGTAGATGAACTGTAGAAAGATCAAAGTTACTGATCTACATGAAAAGTGTTCTACTAAAGTTATTCGACATGCTAATTGCGAACTACGTGTTCATTTTGCACTATATTCTCTGTTGCGTTATAAGACGAACGTCAATTCGATGACAAGGAAAAACCGAAAAACGCGTGCTTAAACTAGACATTTTTAAAATTATTTTCTACGCAACAGTTCCTAAGTCAAACTTTAAACATGTATATGAATTTCGCCTATCATGGGTTATCCTTTGATGATTAAAACAACTCTTGACTGAAAGGAAAATCGTATCCATTTTTACCTGAGATGTTTTCTTTCTTTCCGTAAGAGATAGTGAAACGATTTCTTATATCTCTGAGCGATTACATATGATGGCCTTTAAGAGTTTCACACCACTTCATTTGATGATCCAAACAACTGATGTCATTCTTTTCACTAGAGCGGGTACGATACTATTTAAACGGCCATAAGGTAAAGGGACGGTGGTCTTGGATATTGAACAACATGTCGTTTTTGAGGTCTGTTATCTGAAGTCCAGCTAATGATTGGTGCAACCAGTTGTGGATAAAGGTGCGTTGGGTTTTCGTGCTGCTGTGCAATTTGAAATTGAAGTCACTAAGTGCGAAAAACATTGTTGAATGCAGAAGTTGGTTGACACTTTATCATGACCTATTGTCATTTTTTCTTAGGTATCCTTGTCGTTAATTCAGACAAAAAGAGCTAAAAAGTTGTGGAAGGTTCGAGAATTACATAGCGTAATCTTCAAATGTATCCTTCTCTTAATATTATTTAGTCAGACCTGACAATTAATCTCAGCAAATGATACAAATGATACCTCGTCAAACTCAGTTGTCATACAAAGTGTCAACCTTATTAAGTGGCTACTTCTACATAGTGTGAGGAAAAATTCAATAGCGCTGCATTGATAAAACGGGATGTTAGTAAAACTTGCTAATTCA